CTAAACGCAACATGAGACTGAACAGAGTCACCATCACAACTCGGTCTCATAAAGGGGTCAGTACAGTCCAGAGCCAGATCGGTTAGATGTGAAATGAGTTCTTTAATTCAGCAACTTCACATTAAAGTGCTAGAACACAATACTGCACACACTGGAAATTAAAAGAAAAAAAAAAAGTCTGACATTTGATAGAGAAACCTAATTTACAGTAATTATTCATGTCTGCAGAATACATGACAAAACCGAGGGAAATTAAGAATCCTATAAATAGCCTCACTTGAGAACAGCTGGGTAGGTCCCATACAATAACCAAGTATTTATACTGATCCACACGTTTCTGCAGCACCAAGAAGATGGCAATCGCAACCCTGAAATTCAGTTTAGATCCATGAAAAGTATAAAAGGAGAATGAGAGGAAATTGAAATGTCAGCGCAGCTGGACCTCATGCTTCCCATTACTGCCTTAACACCCAAAGCTGAGGATAAAGGAAAACCCTGAATTTCAGTATTCACCATCACTCAAGTCCTTGGTGTTTTTTTCATGGGCATATTCTACACATGCTACAATTAATTGCTCCGTCACAGGGTAAGGTGTAGATGCAAACTGAAAATTGCCTTAGTCTATTTGTGCAGAGGGATACAGGCAGCCACAGCCCAGCCCTGGCCCCACAGCAGCTTGGTGCTGAGTGGGCACAAAGCTTGGCCACCTTCACCGCCCATCCTCCTGGGAGAACTGGTGTCATGGTTTAACCCACTTGCTACAGCAAAAATCACACAGCCGCTCGCTCACCCTCCCCTTCCTGGGGATGGGGGAGCATTAAAGGGGTAAAGGGAAAAGAGGCTTGTGGGTTGAGATAAGAACAATCTAATAACTAAACTACAATAATACTGGAAATAGTAATGACAATAATGATATTAATAGTAATAATAATATATGAATATACAAATATCCAAATGAGTGGTACACAGTGACACTGCTCACCACTTGATGACCAAGGCTCAGCACGTTCCCAGCTAACAATCCCGGAGCATGGAGAGTCCTGAAACTGCAATCCTGGAAAAGAGATAAGAGTCTGAGAGTCTGAAAGAGAAAGCCAGAGTCGAACGAGAGACCGAGAGTGAAGAAAACTTTTGGACAGACCCTCCTCTATATACTGGGCATGCTGTGCATGACATGGAACAGACCACTGGCCAGTTTGGGTCTCAGTCCTAAACCCAAGGTCGAATCCTGGGCCAGTAACTGGGGCTGAGCTCCCTCCCAGCTCCTCCTGCCCCTGCAGACACGGGCACAGCAGAGAAGCTGGAAAGTCCTTGACTGTCCTGGCAGCAGCTCTGCCCATCAGTGTGTGATCAGCTTCTCCTCAGCACAAACCCAAACACAGCCTCACACCAGCTGCTGGGAAGAAAGTGAACTCTGTCCCAGCCGAAACCAGGAGACTTGCTCCAGCTTGGGGTTGTCCCCATGGCTTTAGTCCATGTGTGCACCCTCAGCATCCTACATGGAATTTAAATATATTGAGCAAAACCACAGGCAATTGATCAATGTGGCACACAAAAGGATGCATTAACAGTAAGCAAACAACCAGAAAGGCATCCTGCATTTACTTTAAAAAATAAATAAATCAAAAGAAACATTTTTTATTGTGAGAAAACACAACGAACTTGAACAAGAGACGGGGAGAAGCTGGCCAAGGCATCGCGTGTTTCCAGTAAAGGCTGAAAAGCAGCAGTAAAGGAAGGGGCAACCTGTTTCCAGGCAGCGTGCGCTTCTGACAGCTACAGACGAAGAACAGCAACATCTCTGAAACAGCAGAGACGCAAGCATAATGTAACAGGTCCAGAAAAAACAACTTCTGCCTCACCTTCCTCTACCTTCAGCTTGAGGATAAAATACTTTGTTTTTGTTAAAAATGCAATCCAAAAATATTCCAAAGCCCAACGCAGGATGGTAATTGCTGGATCAAAAGGAGGATGACTCCTGTTACACCATGTTCTATCTAAATCTGGTCTGTCTATTTAAACATCAAAGCAGCTGTAACCTTTATAAGAAATTCTCTGCTTACTTCACTGGATAGTGTCAAATACGTACACAAGGAGTGACTAGTTTATCCAAAGGACCTTTACTAAAAGTAGGTGACTGTGAATGTCCATCATGAGACAGCTTGGCATCACCACTACATTGAGCTTCTTGCACAGAACAGTCCCCAAAAAGGTCACAGGAATCGATAAGAAAGATGTCTAGCATGAAGGTGGACACCTCAACTAGTCAATGGGGTGAGATATTTTACATTCAAAAATGTGTGTTTAGATGTGTGTGCATGTTACACATAGGTACGTGCATTCACATAGATCTCTTATTCATACATCATAAACGTATATAGAAGCAGTGCTAACTTTTTACCATTCCTCTCTGTAAAGTCACGCATTGCAGACATCCATGGTAAAGAAAAATACCCATGTTAAGACAAAACTGAATTTAAAAACATTTTTTACATTCAGAATTTGTGGTATCATCAGAGACATTTCAGTAATCATAAATGTCAATTACGGAAACCGGCTTAAGAGCTGACCTTTGCATCGAGCTTCCCATTGAAAAGAAATTTGATTAAAAACCAAACAACTGCTGCCCAAATCTTTTGCGGTTTTGCATGGGACAGATGGGGATTGATGTGTCCACCTGCAAAAACTACCCTCCCAAGCTCAGAAAAATGGCATTAAGGGCTTCTCCTTTTTACATTGCCACTGTCAGTTAACTTTCAATAAGTAAATTCAAGCTAACTTTCATGATGCAAAAATTATTGGCCATTAAAAATCCGTTTTCTCATACTATATAGAAATTTAACTCCACTGAATATCTTCTGAAACAACAAAACTGGAGTCCAAAGGAAGGGAGCATACCGCAGGAAAAAATCACAGCCTTTGCAGGGTTGTTCACTGCTTAGAGACTGGAACTGAATTAGTTTCTGGATTTGCTGAAGTGTGTTTTTACAACACTTTGAGGAGGGTAATGATTCGTTCTGGCTGGCTTTTATACGAGTTACAGCCTAGAAGCTGTTAGATTGTAAAAATGGTGACAATTTGGGTCTGTAAGCGAATCTGAGAGTCTGATTTTCAATTCCCAGCCTCCGCTTGCATATTTGTAAAACACAGACACGTACGAGATTTTGAGGTTGTACTGCAGGAGCAATTGGAAATTGCAGCTCTTGTTTGAGGAGCCTTGCAGGGCCAAATTATAACACTTGCACGAGCACAGGAATTTGCTAAGGACGTGTGAAAACAAACACATTATCAGAAATACAGTCTGCAAGCATCCAGTTAAAGGTCCATGTGAAAAACCTCTTGCTATCCTTTAGAAAGTAAATGGAACAGAAAAGAGGAAAACTCACCAGCATCCCAGCGCAACCTCCTGCGCGGTAACCAGAGCGGTCTCTAAAGCAATTTTCAGCTAAATGGAAGACTTGCAGAATTAAAGTTGTAATACATTATTGATCGTCTATGGAAAGAATATCGGATCGACTGTAGCCAAGAATCCTTCCCAGGCTTGTTCCTCTTGAACGGAGATTATACTAATAACAAAACAAACAGGGAATAGTAGGACAATACGTAACAGTAAATTCTGAGACACTCTGGTAGCTGATGTTATCTCACACTGCAAGAAAAAGCGTGTTTGATCCAAAGAGACATGATGGTTTAAGGCAAAATGATGAGAATTTATCATTGACCATTTGAGCCACTTTTTATGAGAAGGGCAATCGTTCTGCCTTTCTAACAACATTATTATTTTAAGTCATGCTTCTGCCTGCTACTTGCATCATGTAGCAGCTACTCGAGGTAGAAAATATTACCTAAAACTCACCTGTTTTCTGAAGTGTTCAGCAACAGGTACCATACAACTTAAAGATAAGTAAGCTATCATTATGAATATGGACAGCGTACAAAGATGGATGTTTGTCGTGCTGATAGATGTTTTTTCTCAGTACTACATACATGCAACAGCAAGCACACCAGTACAACGAAAGGCTTCATCTTCATCATGGGCTCACTCAAAACAGTTCAGAAAAAAAGAAAGTAAGCATATATGTAGCCCTCTATAGAGTGTAATAGTTCCTGAAATTCTGCAACAAGGATGAAAAAGACCAAGGAAATGTATTAATTTGCTCAGACAAGTTTTTAAAATAATATTTTATTTTTCTGAGTCAGTGGTATATTTAAAAACAATCTACTGTAAGAGTAAAAAGATTGTAGATAGTAAAAAACAAAAGTGTGATGACAATAAAAAATGCTAGAGTATAAAGTTAGTTTCCTTCCTCCCTCCCAACACCCCACCCCATCATTGTCCAATATTTCATATCTGGAAAAAAAAATTGGTGGTTTTTTTTTTTTTTACAGTTTCAGCAATTAGGAAATTAAAAACACACAAGGTGTTCTTTGCAGGTACATTAATTCATTAATACATGAAAAGCAGGCACCATAAAAATTAAAACATTCTAAAAACCATCATATATACAAACGCTGTACAGAATGATGGCACAAGGACAAAGTGATTCCATTCAGTTCATCCTAATCCACATGAAATATTACACATTAAAGAAGAAAAGAAAAAGCTCTGCCCATTCTTGTACTCAACAGCCAGGTTCGGAACGACCAGGAGTCTCCCACCTGCCTACTCTGTTCTTTTCCTATACGCTCATGCCCATCAGCAGCTAAGAGGCTTCCTTGCTTTACCCATTGATCAACACCCAGAAGAACGGCCAACGGACTGAAAATGGAAACAACTGATCACCGATGACTCATTTCCCAAAGCCCATTAGCAATCAGTTTATTTGTAATACAAAAAAAAGAGAAGGCACATGTCACAAATAAGCTGTGTCTGATTTTTAGCCCTGGGCAGAACCGTTATTTGGGGCAATCCTACGGCAGCTTCTCCTTTACCGTGAAGCCTACTCCAACGTGCACTGAATTCAATGTGAATATCATCATCCATTCCTATATACACTGAGATTACGTACAAAATAACTCAGCTCATTTGCAACTCCATAGCTACCTAAATGCTTTGGGTACAAAATTTTCAACTCTCATTTTCATCTCCACAGCTACCTACGTGCCTGAATTATTCAGAAGAAGCAGGGAGAAGGTTTTAGGAAGAAGGTATTGTCAGTTGATGAACGCCTCCCGGTCTCAAGTAGAACTCCAAGTTTCTTTCAAGTTACGGGAGGGAATAACCCCAGCAAGAGGGGTGCTGTAGTGTTGTTTCCGACACACGGCTAGAAATGGATTTCTTACGGAGTTAGAGTCATTGCACTAATGTTAGATACTGCACGCCTGAATGAGGTAAACGTTATATACCATAAAATACTTAAGGAAATGAATTGTTACAGCTTTATCTTTGGAAAAAAAAAACGTTTCCTTCTTCACTGGACAATCCCAGAGTCAACAGACGTTTGCTTCCGAGTTGTCTTTGGAGGCGGCGGTGGGGGAGTCTTGCTGGGGAGCGGAGGAGGCAGGTGCTGGAAGAAACCGATTTTGAAAGACCATGTTAGTGACAAATGAATCTTTGAAACATTTGCTGGGTCATATATAACGGTGAGAGACAGCAGGTAAGTCTGGAGCCCTCTGACTCCACAGAATTTGCTGATATGAATAGTGAATGCTTTTGGCCATTAGCTTAAAATACAACTTTGACAATGAAAAAAAATCTCCCAAGGGTTCATGATTAATTAGCTCAGTATTTCAGGAAAAATCTTTTGGAAACACTGGAGGAGTTTATAATTCCCCACTTTATATCATGATAGGATATTGATTTCTTGGTCTGTATCGATTGCCCTCAGCCTTTATGCACTGGAGAGCTTAAAAGCCCAGTTGAAGCAACAGCTTCATTGCTTTTCCATTTGTTTTGTATTTTGCACCTTTAGAACACAAACAATTAGGAAAAAAAAAAAAAGGAAACCATTTGAAGAGATAAGTAACTTTCAATTTACCATTCCACATTCAGTTATAATTAAAATATGCAAACCAGACATCCAGCCTGTTCAAATATACATATTTTAAATCACTTCATACGTCATACAACAGAACAAGGGCACCCTCGGTTGCATTCACTGGCTAATTGGACAAATTAAAAAAGTCATTATGGAAATTAGGACTTTTTTCCATAATGTTCCATCATATATATGCTAAAATCTGTTCCAAAAAGAGCTTGAGAACGCTGGCGTGCACTCACACACGTTGCAGTCAGGATTTCTACAGCATTTGGGCTGTGCAGCCATCAGTTTCCCCATCACTGCACTGAGGCTGTACTGCGGCGTCACGCCTCATCAATGCTGCTTTGGTTTTGGTGTTTTTTTTTTTTTTTTTTCCTAAGGTTCTTCCCCTGCTCAGCCAGCCACCACCTTTTGTTTTCCTCCAAGCACAACAATGCTTTCTCCTTTCCATTTGTGGTGTCTCAGTGTCCCTGTCCCACCTCACCCATCCCATACTGCCGGCTCCCACACGAACACTCAAAACCCTTATGACTCCCCCAAACTTCCTTGATGACCAGTAAAAGAACAGTTCAAACATCTGAAATACCGTAGCGTTACATCGCATGTACTGTACTTGTAACCTTGATACTCATATTCCAACTTTGATTAATGTCCTGGCCAATATAACCCGTGATTTCTCAATCACAGCAAAGAAACCGGTACACAAGCAACTGGTCCCCTCCAACCCAAACCATTCGATGACTCTATGATAAACCATGTGAAAGGATGTATGGAAAAGTCCATTCCTTTTAAAGGCTATGCAAAGCTGCTATCCAAAAAGAAAAGCTGTTCAGGGTGATGCCAGGACATTCTGGTCTTTCCTCTACCGCGAGGCAGAAGCCCCGAGAGCCTCCTAACGCTCCTGAGCCTACTGGTTGGGAGTTTTCAGAGATGTGCAGGAGTAGAAGGAAAAAAAAAGTATCTTCAAGGTATCTGAATGCCCTCTTTAGCTTTTAAGACAGCGTGAAGTTATAAATCCAGAGCTTTTACCAGCTAGTTTTACCAACCATAGACTCAACAGAAGGGTAAGACTGCACAACAGCAGAGCCAGGAAGGCTGGATTTTTGCAGGAATATTTTTCCTGTATCCTACCTAGAAAGAAATACCTTCTAATCTGTCTTACACCTTTCCTCATTCCTCCCAGCTTGCCCACATGGTAAATGAACAGGGATCACAAGCTATCGTTGGTTAAGCCATGCCCTGAGCGTTTCTCTCCATTTTGCCACTGTTCGAACCAGCATGCCCAGAATATGGAGAGGCAAAGACCGTCCACTCTCCATTTCCCCAGCCTCTCCAGCAACACCACTAATGCAGTGACATGCGTGCTCACACCTTCCTCCTTGGCAACTGTCGTAGTATTACACAACACAGCCGCTCGCTCACCCTCCCCTCTCCTGCGGATGGGGGAGAGAATTAAAGAAGTAAAGGGAAAAGAGGCTTGTAGGTTGAGATAAGAACAGTTTAATAACTAAAGTACAATAAAACTGAAAATAATAAAGATAATAATAGTAATAATGATATACAAATATCCAAATGAGTGATACACAGTGACACTGCTCCCCACCCAGTGACCAAGGCTCAGCCCATCCCCAGCTAACGATCCTGGAGCAGGGAGAGTCCTTAAAGTGCAATCCTGGAATGGAGACAAGAGCCCGACTGTCCAAGAGAGTGAGACAACCCTGAGAGAGGGGTGAATGGGAGGGAGACAACCCGGAGCAAGAGAGAGAACTTCCAGATAGAGACTCATCTCTGTACTGGGCATGGGATGGAACAGACCATCGGCCAGTTTGGGTCTCAATCCTAAACTCAAAATCAAATCCTGTGCTGGTCACTGGGGCTGTGCTCCCTCCCAGCTCCTCCTGCCCCTGCAGACACGGGCACAGCAGAGAAGCTGGAAAGTCCTTGACTGTCCTGGCAGCAGCTCTGCCCATCAGTGTGTGACCAGCTTCTCCTCAGCACAAACCCAACCAACCCCACACCGGCTGCTGGGCAGAGAGTTCACTCTGTCCCAGCTGAAACCAGGACAGCTACAAAATGCTTTGTTACCAACTCGGAAATCCATTTAATCTGCTACTGGATAAGAAACTCCGGACCAAGAGCAAGGTGCCGGAGCAGGGGGTGCCGTGTCGGGAAAGCTGCTTTTCCCCACACCAGGAACTGCTGAGGAAGGAATGAACATCTTTGGCACTGTAGACTTTCATCTTCACAGTCTGGTTAAAGTTTATACTAGCTCTTTTGAAGAAATAATCAAATTATTAAAAGGTTTGAGTCTTGAAAGGGCACTGCTGCTTCAAATACACACATCAAGAAGACCCTGCTGAGGAAGGAGCGTTCGTTTTCCAGAGCAGGCTCAAAACCATGCACTATTTATTCCTGACTTACAGTGGGACACATTCCTCTCTGAGTCACAAAACCAAGCCAACAGACTACGATGAAAAGCAGATAAAATAAGAATTTTATTTTACTAAATGCAAAACTGAAGTTGGCTTCTCCTTTTTTTTTTTTTTTTTTTTTTTGGGGGGGGGGGCAGGTTTTTGGTTTGTTTGGTTTTTTTTTAATAAAATGCCACTGCTGATCCATCTCTAAGTATTACACTCAGAACCATTAAATATTTCCTCTCCCTGACCAAATACTTTCCCTAACCTGGGATGTTATCTCCCGAATCCCTACTCAGGCACCTGAATAAGAGTTGGACTATCAATGTTATTTAGCCTCACACATGCATTGTGACCTGCAGATTTCAAAATCTTTGAAAAACTGCTTAGTTACAATCATCTATCCAGGCAGAGGCTATAGGCAAACACTGGGAAACGCTGGTGGTCTGCACAGCATCAGTGTACAACACACAAGAACTCCTCATGGACACGACATTAATTTCAAAATTAAATAAACCAGGTGCCTTTCTAAAATACATTATAAAACATAAAGATTTCCTGAGTGCTTGGCTCTCAGATGATATATTTAACTTCATATTTTTCCCTAGGAAAAAACCCAACTCTGCTGATAGCATCATTTGTGAGACTCCATTTGGAATTTAAATAACAGTATATTGGCAATAATTCTCAATTCAATTAGATCAAAGGCATTTCTCAAACAAATGAGCCCTTCATATTGATCAGAGAACAATCCAATTATCCCTGAAACCTGCTTCTGAAGAACAGATACAATGCAAACACAATGAGAATACGCTAAATATATATGCTATAAATAACAAGCACAAAACCTAGCAGAGCTGAGATTCTGCAAGCAAATTAGGCAGAAAGAAATAAAAGAGATAGGTAGATAATTATAATAATTGAATTTACAATTTCCATTAGAAAGTCGGATAAATTCGGTACATGTTCATTTCTATAATAAGCTACCAATGACTATATTAAGTAGGACACGGAATGCTTGTCAGGGCAACATTATTGAGAAATTAGCACGAAAAAACCTGCCAATATGGAACTGATGCAACTCCAAACCCAGCCATCGCTCCCAGGGCTGATACACTCTCCTTTTATTCCAGCACAGGAAGAAGTTCAAGCACACTTTCTCTCTCCCTTTAATATCATACTCAGAAAATTGTTATTAGGTTGATGAAGTTAATTTTTGCCACAGAAAATAGAAACTTTGAAATACAAAATAGAGTTTCCCTTGATTTTACATTTAATTAAGAACTGCTTTGCAGAGTTCATGTTTATATTTCAGCGGTTAATTGTGAACCCACCAAATCTTGAAGCCTGCTTTTATTTTCTGACTTAATGATAAAGACTGCTGGTTCCCATTCCAACCTATTTTTGGGCAGAAGCCTTGACTCACGGGTACCTCAGGGGAAGCAGAAACCTTATGTAAAAGGCACATCTGCAACACAGAAGCAATCTGTTCCTTCTGCTTCAAACACGAAATTGCTCCCATTTGTTTGTTTTTTCCTTCCTGCTACAGAAAAGAATCAGGTTCAAAAACATTTGTCTCCATTCTCTTAGAGAGATAAAATACACTACACTGTACATGGTCAGGATGCAGTCAAAATCAATTAAAGGAGATGAAAAAATACCTTTTGCTTTTTAACTCTGTGAAGAAGTGAAGAAAGACACAAGAATGGTGTTTCTTTTTCCAATCAGAAAATACTCTTTAAAAAAAAAAATCAAAATTTGATTCCCCAAAACGGTCCTTGTGACACTGCAAGAAATTTTTTCCTGTGTAACTATTTTTTTTTTGGAAATGAAATGGTCACCAATATGACAGACGGTGGAGATCCAATAAAAAACATTTTCGTTTGAAGGATTAACTGATCTAATTAGGTCAGAAGCAGCAGAACCAAGATGTATATAGGCTAGCAACTACCCAAGACTGTGCAAACGCTTCCAAACCCTGAGCTCTGAATCGCTCCTTCTCACTTACACCGTTGTTTCTAGCATGGAGCCGAGTCGCCTGACAAGGAACAACTTGCTTATTTAATATCTGTGATGAAAAATAACTTAATGTCAGGTCTTGGAGGAACAACACTCCCATTCTGACAGAGCGATAATGCGCCAGCGGAGAGAATCAACCCAGCTCCACTAATTTGAACCAAATTATGGACAGTTTAAGCTAATTGGCTGTTTGACCCAGGGAGCAAAGTTAGGTGGAAAATATTGCAAGTAACCAATATAAAATGACTGTTTAAGCTGTGTTGTCATACTTCATCTATTAGAGTTCCATTGTATCGCAGCCATTAGCTGCCCTTGGAGAAAAAGTCATTTTAAGAGTCCTGAAAGGTGCCCTTTGTGTGTTCCCACCAGCGCGAAGCATCCCCTCCTTGGGCATCACAAAACGTCCCTCTGAATGGGCAACGTCAAATTGATTTGAATTAGTATCTCAGATTTTTTAGGAAGAAATTTTTGCCCTGTGCGGGGGGTGAGGCAGTGGCCCAGGGTGCCCAGAGAAGCTGTGGATGCCCCATCCCTGGAGGGGTTCAAGGCCAGGCTGGATGAGGCTTTGGGCAACCTGGGCTGGTGGGAGGTGTCCCTGCCCATGGCAGGGGGTGGCACTGGATGGGCTTTAAGGTCCCTTCCAACCCAAACCAGTCTGTGATTGTAGGATTTTCCCCACGGGGTTTTTTTTGGCAGGACCCTGGCTGGGGGGAGCAGTGGGGCTTTCCCTCCAGAGGAAGGCTTTTCTCCTGCTGTGTGCCAGCTGTGTTAGAGCACAGCTAATGCCATTTTCCCCCTGTTGAACTACATTTCTGCACATGGAGGCTATTAGTATTTCAGATGGCGTTGGCTAACTCAGTTTTCAGAAGCACGGTTTTTCTGCTCTGGTCCCTACATAAACAGACCTCAAGAGTTATGAGCAATACCCTCAGAATTAGGTTTCAACTCCAGACCGAAACTGTATTTCTTCCTGAAGGCCCAGGCCCTACGAGAGCGATAAACAAACTCATTAGCAACTGGCCAGAGCCAAACCCGCAGCTTGATCCTGCGCAGCGCTGCGGGCAGCAACCCGACCCTTCCGAAACAACATCGAGGGTGATGCTCAGGGACCCATCACGGGCTCCACATCTCTGGGCAGACAGCAGAAGAACACATTTTTCACTCAAAATCCTGTAATAAGCAGTGGCAGGCCATTGATTCGGAGACTTATTAAATAGTGATTTGTGAGGTTTCTAGAAACTCTTCGCTTGGTAAGAGCTTAACCCACCAAAGCCCAGCCCAGCCAGGGTGGGAGGTGGCAAAGACTTTGAAGGGCTTGCAGTGCTTCCCATCTCCAACCAGCAAAATAATAACCAGATGGTAAATAAAACCCAAATTTTTGGTTATTTTGTCTTTGTCCTTCTACATATCATGGAAAGCCTTTGGTCAAAGATGTTTTTTTTAGAATAGCTGGAGTATCAGACAGCAGAGGAGACATTTATTTCCATTTGTGAGCAAATGCAGCCCACAAAGTCAACTAATTTATTATAATGGATTAATAATGGACTTTTTCCAATTTCCCTTTTTCCAACATCTCCATGGGACGATGCTGCTACCAACTGCCCTCCCACTGCTGTAGGAAGGGACCTGGCGACAAGCCTTGAGCCAGCCGTGGGGGTCCTGAGGAGGTGGCACAGTGATGCTCAGAGGCTTCTATTCTATCCAGATAAGCAGTGTGAATGCTCCTCGTGCAACAGGATCCCAGACAGTTAAAATAAGCACCATCAGCCACACAGACCATGCCAGTCCTCGCGTTACACCCTCCTTGCCAAGTTCTCCATCCACACCAGACTGATGGAGATCTTCTCATCCAAACCATTATCTGATGCTTAGTAAGTGTTCTAGCCGATATTACAAATGGAAGTGCTCCTTTGTCTATTTTCATTGAGTTTCCCTTCTCGCTGTGAATACTAAGCAGGCAGCTGATTTGTATGCAAGGGTACAGATGAACCCATAAAGAATGAAAAGTGCCTAAAGGAATCCCTTGATGTAATAATAATCCTTGCTGGAGTTGTAGACTTCCTTTTTTATGCTCCCATATATTATTAAGAACGTTTTTAGCAGAACAAATCATACAGTGCAAGAAAATATATATAGGGCTATCGCAGTTAACAACGAATAAGAGGACAATCAGAAAATGATAATTACGTGATCACTTGGATAAAAGACTTAAGGTAGACCAAGTTAACAGGGGACTCCAAATAACCTAAGATTGCTGTCTCAGACACTAAATGACACTATTGCCTGATTGATTTGAACTATTTCCTGATGCATTTATCACTACATGCTTTTCAGTTGACAAGAGTGTTTTTTTGCTTTTCAGAACTCGAGTGCAAGACAACCAGAGTGAACCATGTAATAATTTCACATACAAGGAGATATTTCCAGTTTGAAAGCTACTAAGATAATCTTATCTATAATATTTTTTACGGATTTTTCTTCACTGATACAAAGCACGTGTAACTTAAAAGATGATCAATTTACTAGGCAGAGAGTTATGAAGTTATTTAGTATGTAGCTATTTGACCCATGAAACACAAGACATTAAAAACTGCGGAGTGGGATTTAATCACAGCAGTAATATGAATTTACCCATCTGATCTTTCGTGCCCAGAACTACTCATTTTCTTTATGTTCTTTAACAGCTTCCTTCCTACAAGCCTGACGAAATAAACGCACAGAGTGATTGTGAAAAGACTAGACGCCCTTTCTAAAATTAATTCTAAGACTAATACGTGTGGCTTTGTGACAAATCTGCTTTAGATCCATTTTGCAGACTTTGAAACTGTATTTCCCTTGCCTTGGAAAGTTTATAAGATGCTGAAGAAAATTTTGATGATGGTTGAATTGCATTTCTAAGGTACGCTTAAATCCTGGGGCCCTTCAACACTGGATGTTAAACAATGGGGTCCAGTTCTACAATTACAAAAGAAAATTTTAAGAAATGAGTCTGAGCAGGGAAGACTGTAAAGAGAAAAAATATTAAGACCTGAATAAAACTTTGCAAAAAAACCGAGGGAGCACTATTTTTATGAATTTCCATTTAATGATGCAGAAACCCTGCTCATGGCAGGTACAGGAGCTCTGCAAGGTCACGTCCTCAACAGCAATGAGACCAAGGCTGGAACCCAAGTCCTCTTCAGGTCTGGGCTCTAACCATCACATTGTGATGGCATTTGTAAGTGGTACAGTACATATCTTAGCATTTGTCCACTGAGTGGAAACCCCTTCAAACTGTCTCGTAAGGAAGGGAAAAAGGAACCCAGCCACTGGGATTTTATTTCTCATCATATATTTTATCATCTCATTAACACTCTTTAGCTAAAAATTGAACTCACATTAGCAACCCTGAGCTACCACTATGACATAAAACTTATAGTACATCATACAAAATGAATTTACTACTCTGGAGCTCATACAGAAAGGAGTTCAAGGCATTTGAAACCTAATTTGAATTTCTCAGGTTTCTTCATAAAGATTGATTCCTTAGACAAAATTCCTGGCAGCCCTTCTGTATGTTCTATAATTTTCCACTTAGAGGTCTGTATTCAGGGCAAGAGAGAGCTGGCCCCTGAGAGAGAAGTCAGGGAAACGCGTAAGAGCTTAGTATATACTCTGGTGGAAATTAGAGGAAAATGGTTCAAAAAAAAATTTAAGTGAAAATATTTACTAAAACCATCCAACCATGGGGAAAAACTATGGAAGAGAAGATGGGAACAGATAATTTCTCAATATATGCATATACTGAGTAAAACATTGTGTTTTCAGTAACACTAGTCACATTCCTGAATTTACTTTATCTGTTTTTTCTTTTTTTTTTTTTTTTTTTTTTTTTTCAGCCGTGGAAAAAGCCAGGCTTGTGCACTGGTGTGCACTTTGACAGTCTGTGTTAAATAAAACTATTCCCAGAGTTAAAACAGAATTCTTGCCTGACTAAAAAAAAATCCCTCCTGAGATTAGAAATGCTTTCTCTAAGGCTGAAATTTACTGAAAAGCAAATTACTCAACAGAATTTCATTTGAATGATGAACTTCAGAGAAATCCTGGAAGATATGTCTGCAAACAAAAAAGAATCATTACTGCTGAGAATTTTTTCTACAGCAAAACAGCTTGGCCAAAGCTATGCATTTCAAAGTCAATGAAAAGAAAACCTCTTTAAGCATTTTCTTCTCAAAAAAGGAAAGAAATGGTCCTTCTCAAAAGTATTGCTTTAAAGAAAAGGACCAAATTATTTTTAAAAGCTTCCAGGATACAGGATATAAAGTTGAAAAAAATGTATTTTCTTCAGAAAGCTGAAAATCCTGTTGATGATGAAGAGTGTTTCTGAGCTCCTTCCCTCCAAGGGGGCACGTGTGTTTGCCTCTAGGAAATAAGTGGCAATTGAATGTCGACAGAACGGTGCTCCAGAAAGGAAAGATGTCAGGTACAGCTTTTATTTCCTTTCCTGAGACAGGATTGAAAGGCTATTAAATCTAATTTGCTGCTGAGACTATATCCTGTCGGTTTAAGCTCCCTTCCCAACATAGCTAACAACATTTGGCTTAGTCTTCTCCACCAGAATGAATTCAACCTCCCTTCAGGTTGGTCCCACTGAGCGATGCCGTTCCCTCACGCTCCAGCTGGTTGGTTGGAATGGCAGAAATCTCTGGATTACATCTTGCCGTGGATTGCGCAAAGCAGAAAAGCAAATTGCAGAAAACGATCATCGATCATCGTCTCTGGGACTCACCCTTTGATGGGCAGGAGGGGATGTCGTTGGGCTGATCAAGTCTTGAGTTTCCATGAGGTTCCCGTAATCGGCCATGCTTCCTTTGAGCGGCAGAGGAGGAGGGACGTCGGGTATGTCGGAGCTGGACATACCGTTCAGCTCCAGATCTGTAAAAATCAACACTGAGTTAACTCTTTCAATAACTGAATCGAACCCAAAGAACCAACCTGTGCCAATTCTTATGGCATTGATACTGTGATAACGCCGCACAGGCGGTATATTTGTCCACTCTTCACTGCCTCTATAATTATTTGCAGCTCATCTAATGAGGGATTTTTAAAAAAAGTAGAACAACTGAACCAAACCCCACATTGATGGGAAGTATGCACTGTGGAGCTGCTTTGGACTAATTTTTAGGATATGCTCAAAATACTTGAATGATCCCCTCTTTTTAATATAAAATAATTTTTACTTCAGATTCCACACCAAAATACTCATTATTTAGCAAAAAATATTTTTTTTCTCATCTGTAAGGTCTGCATTTACACCTTGTACATTAACACACACTAGAAGTTTTGGTGAGTGCACTAAGAAAATACAACAGACCTGAGCTTTATTTATTTTCTCCCAGTAAAAAAAAAAAAAAAGCTTCTTGTTAATAAAATGCACAAATGAAAGCTTACAATTAACTACATCTCTCTCAAAAACTTTCCAATTCCAGGTAACTATAATAAATGAGCAATCATTTGCTGTTGAGTAAATAAAACCACGCAAAAGAAAGTACAGAGCATTTATTATTACTGTTTCCTGGGTAGAAAGTTCCCTTTTCTTAGCAGATAAATCCTAGCAGGTACGTGCTGTAAAGGCGAACAGCCTGAGGGACAATAAAGTTTATTAAGGCCTGAGTGATACATGGGGTTTTGTGTAGAAATCCACCCACGGTGTATTTCAAGGTAATTCAGTCATTTCAACACAGGAGAAACCCACTGTGAGCTCTACAAGATAAGAAACTTAATTTATTTTTGATAAATTAGGGAAGTGTTTTCATTTAGGAAATGAAAAAAAAGTTATTTTTATTTTACCGGGGTAATTTGTGAAACAAGTGGAGGACTTGTTTATGCAGATATTTTTATTGCAAGGTTCCTATCAATATCTTATAAAAAGTGTCCTTTTATTGTTCTCTCAAACGGCCTCTCACTAACACAATTTAACGGCAAGGTGGCTGTATTGATTTGTCACTGAAAACCATAATTTTACTCTTTGTCCTTTCTCTTGAACTTTCAACTACGCCATGAAGAAGAACATTTTCCATCCTGGGACTTCAAACTTTCAGTAGCTTCTTCTACATCAGGCTGAAAAGTGTTGATTGTCCTCCAAGACCTGAATTTCTCATCACTTTTTTCATTGCTTTTGTTTTTCATCCTTCCTTTTCATTTTTCATCCTTCCTTTTCTACACATAAAGGGTTTCTCCATTCCCCAAACATTCAGAATACTTTCCTTTACATATCTCCATCCGAATCTACTTCTGCTAAGGTCATGCCATCACACGTGTAACCAGATGGAAAACAAAACTATGCATTTGTAACTAAACATTGATGCTGAGAATGAACTTCCCTGTTCATTTCGTATTAATTTCCCAGACACATTGTACATCTAAAGATCACAGGCACTTGAGACCGTAAACTTCACAAAACAGCTCCTTGATGTACATCGTCATCGACAACTACATGTTCTATATCTATGTATAAAGATACAATGGATTTAACTGCCTTGAATGCTTCATCTTTAGATCTCACATGACATTATGATATCTACTAACTTCATATTAGAAAAAATTTCTTCCCTGAAAGAGTGATCAGCCATTGGAACAGGCTGCCCAGGGAAGTGGTGGAGTCACCATCCCTTGAGGTGGTCAAGAAACGTGTAGATGTGGTGCTCAGGGACATGGTTTAGTGAGTTAGGTGGTGTTGGGTTGAAGGTTGGACTTGATGATTCTTGAGGTCTTTTCCAACCTTAATGATTCTATGATTAGATGTAGACTAATAGGTGGTATGAAGAAGACGCTAAGACAAATTTTGGTATGAGTTACACAAACCCTTTTTTCTTTAGGTTTGACATTTGGAAGATCCATGGAAAGGCAGGTGAGCAACATTTTTACTACAGCTGCAGAGGAAACAATGTCCGAAGGGAATTCGACTTTAACATAAGCAATCCTCCGAGCAACCTGGATGGTCACCAACTGTTTGTGCAACTGTGTCCTGCTCTGAAAAAAATTATTTGCCCTGCCTAGCTAATATCTCACACAGTTTCACAAAAACCAGGAGTCATCTACCCTACTGCAGAAATAGGTATCAAACACAAACTTCAGTAATTTTCAGTCGCGCTGCAAGAGGATCTGTTTGCTACAGATCTATTAATTTTCTCCTGCTCAATTCAGCTGAAATGTACTCTACTAAGTCACTCTACAAATAATTACTCATCATTTCTGGTTTGCTATCATTATTCAAGGTGTTTCATCAGATGAGCATGCTCTGAATATTTATTCCTTACTGGACATGTGCCACTGAGAATATCTTTGGGCTGGCAAGAGATCACTTTTTTTTTTTTTCCCCATCTTAACCTAATGACCAAATTTTACACTCCATTCTCCTAAACTGCCAGCTAACAAGCAAGCAGTATTGCTTAGCAACCCACTAACTGCTTTAGCCAAATTATGCACTGAAGTAACTCCTTTATCTGCCGAATTCTTAAAATTTATCACTACAACTCCTCACATGATTATGGACAAGTTCCACAGATTTTTCAATAAGCTGAACCTATTTTCCATAACACCCGTAAATCTCTAGCATATAGACATAAATATTCTCACCAAACCATGATAGTTTCAGATACTTAAAAAAAAAAAAAAAAAAAAAAAAAAAAAAAAACAGATCAATTTAGGTCTAATAAAATGTATACAGGAAGAAATAATCCATTTCAAAGACTATTTTTTGCAGGACTAAATACACTCTACTTGTCTGTATTTCCAGTTTTTAGCATAGTAGCAGTTTTTGGCTATCAAAACTGTAAAGAAAGGAGAGAATTCCCCATTGTCAAAATACTTGTCTTGGGCGTCTGACTATGTAATGGAAATACTTCATTGATCTGCAGTTTTTTACCCCTCTTCCATGTGTTTGCAGCCAACAATTTCAAATCATTAAAACAAAGCAACAAAAACCCAACTTTTTCAATGCCACGATTTTTCTTGTTTTTGAAAAAGGTTGGAAGAATTTTTGCTGTCAAATGCAAGGAGCATGATGTTAAGACATACATTCTTGTTCCTGCAAGTAATCCCATGGTGATGGCAAAAAGACTAACTCCAAGAACCCAAACCAACATGTAATGCAATGCTCAGGTAACCCACCTCCCCACCAGAAGTTATTTTGCACAAAATATTGGAGGAAAATAAAATTTAATTAAATCTAAAGACTTACTGGACTGCATGCTGAAAGAAAGTTTTGTCCGCGGAGTTATTGGGGGTGGCGTCATGTGGGAGCTGGGAGGCGACGGAGAGACGGAGAAACGTCTTTCACTTGAAATGACGTTTATGACTTGGCTTTTCGGTCTCTGTGGTCTCAGCGGGCTGATCTACGCAGGGACAAAACCAGCAAAAATCCCCGTTGTTTCACTGCAGCACGGCACGCGTACAAACACATACTGGCCTGCAGCCTGGCATTTTTTTTTTTCTCTGAAGCAATGAGTCAATTCCCCAAACACTTGCTTAATAACAGCTAAGGAAGTCTATATCCTTACACAAGATTACACACCATTTACAATCTTTTCTTTCTTCTCACAAGGCTCTGCTTCCCTTTTGCAATTTATTTCTGTAATTGTTTGCATGGTCAAACCCTCTTAGGAAGACATCATGTGTCCAGAAATGCTTTCTTGACAGTGCATGTTTGCGCTTAGATTTAATTCACTGAAATATCCTTATTGTTTTGCTCTGGCTGCTTCGTAGTCCATTTAAATTTTCCATCAGAAACTCTGAAATGACACTTCCAATCTGATGGGCAACTAATGCTTTTGTTAAGGTGATTCATTTTACCAAATTTAATACTGAGCTCTGCTGTTGTTACCCATCCAGCAGCTGCTGTATTTCTAGTAAATGCAGTGAAGAAAGGGATTTTCTTATTTCCAGGACATCACAGAAAACGGAGCAGCAGCCTTAAGTTAAGAAGGGAATTACATTCAAGGTGCTGCATCATGACAAAACCCAAAATGTTAGCAGCAATTCTTGCTTTTTTTTTTTTCCAGAATTTCGTCACTTCACAATGTTTTTTTAAAAAGTGTGTTGTGAAGTACAAATTGAAAAGAAGGTATGAGTGCTTCCTTTTATTTTCAGAAAACAAACCTTAAAAGAGTTTGCTTAAAAGTCTGTGTCTCTGCGATCCTTCCATGAGAAATGAATGACCATAAAGTATGTGACGTTTTTGTGAACGTTCATCAAGACCTCAGGGTAACCTTTTAGAAATTTGCCTGATACTAAAATTCAAGTCCTAAAGACTCCAAAGGCTTCCTCTTTCAAGACATTTTAAAACATATTTTAGTAGAATGGGTAAGCACAGTAATTACTTTCTGAGAGGCATATAATTATAAAAAAGCAACTAAGGAAAATACACTAATTGATTAGGGAACCTGCAATACCAGTATAAAGAGAAAAAACAACAACTGGAATTAATTTCCCAAGTTAATCTGGTCTGGAGTTACTTATCTCAAATAAATTTTAACTTCTTCTGTGATTGACAAGATTGGTCCTCTTAAAGCTTGGTCCTCTTCTTAAAGCTTCATATAAATCACGGTTCTACTAGGGAATATGAACTCTTTGGAGATCACTAATCCATAATGAAGCCATTGCTAATTTTTTTTGGTCTAATGAAAGCAAGATCAATCGTGAATGATGTTAGATGTCACTAAATCAATAAAATGTACAGCTTGCTACTCTCATTTCTTACACGAGCTTTCAAGTGATCTGTTAACTACCTGGCTTCAGTCTTAGGTTTGCTATCAGCTCATGGAATCAAAGAACTAACAATGAGAATTTATGTTAAAGAAGTTTTAGTGATACTTAAAGGAAGATCTAAATCTCTAGAAAACTACAAAGACATCACTGATCATCTTCACATACCAAAGTGCTTAATTTATCTTCTGAAAAGATCACAGTAGTGCAAGATCTCTGTAATTAGGGCTTGGGTTTTGATCAGTCAATAGATTCATTATGAGTCCTGTGAAATTTGGAAAAAAGTATTTAAGCCATACAACTAGACAAAAAGGCCTCTGAATGCTCCTTTTGGAAGAAAATGCAAGAGCTCTATGAAATAATTCTCCAGTTTTATAATCTCCCCATGTTCTTCCATCAAGATTCGACTGGAAAAAAAACCCCAACAAGTTTCTATATAAGAAAGTCCATCGCAGTAATGGAAAGACTCATCTCATTAGACAACATCACCTTTGAAAAAGAGTAGCAGAAGCTCTGCAGAGATGGGAAGGACTGCTGGCTGACATGCCTGCTGTGCCTCTCACTTGATATTCTCTGTAAATTCGGTATCATGCTTGCAATTACGTCGCACAAACCAATTAGTAGCGAACACCGCAGGATCCAGAACAGATTCATACATCAGGTTATTGATGCATCCTTCCCTCGTGGAAGCAAACCACCAATAACTACCTGCTTGTGGTGGGTGAAGAATAATTTAGAATACGAGTGTTGTCAGGCAATAGAGAAGTGTGTGCGAGGATGTCTGTGTGGGGGGGTGAATATCTGAAACTGTGATGACACCTGGATGAATCCCGTAATTATAATACAATATCTAGTAACGCATAGGAGTTTATTACTAAAATTTCACTTTAAAAACTCTTTTAAATCTTTATTTTAATTTCCATTTCTACTCAAATCTGGATTCCAACTTTTCTGGAAAAAAAAATCCTTAATTCCCCCCCCCTCCATTTCATCATAATCTTTTTTTTAAGCTAGTAAACTTTCTGTTTCCAAGCTCCTAATGCAAGAGAAATCAAAATGCCTTTTTCTTTATAAAACGCAGTAGTTACATCGGACAAAACAACTCTGATCTTCCAAGATGTCAGAAGACACATCTGAGAGATTAGCTCATCTCAGGATGGAAAAGAAGCAGCAAATCCAGAAAACAAATGAACTATGGCTGAACGTCGAAGTAATATTCTGCTACAAATACCAAACAGAAAGGATCTAGCGACCACAGGTCAGAAATAAATCCTTTCCAAAGTCCAACGTAGATGACACAGCCACCATTGAAAGACTCCGACGAGTTAAAAGTCGGCTCCACAAGTACTTGTGCAAATTCTTAAAAAAAAAATGACATTTCATTCTGGAAGGCAAGTTTTAAACTACTGGCCTCAAAACAGGTGTCCAGGCAGAGATTTGGAGGTTACAGTTAGTTCACGCACTCGCTGCTCCAGCTTAAAACTCTCTTGCTTTCAATTTCCGAGCTAAAACTTCTGAAGTTACCTAAGCCTTTAGGACAGTTTCACTGAATTAAATATACACCAAGAAGAGAGGGCTTAAGAGAGATATGCCCTGTAGTTAATATTCTTATACACAGCCACCAGTGGAACTGCTTACGATTTTCTGCTCAAAATAGCCTTTCAAGAGTATGTACCTGCCATGCACCACATGACCTTGTAACATTTCCACCAAAAAGTATCTTGCAGTAGTCAGCTGAAAGATGAGAAAACCCAACACGATCTACTGGGATCCATAAAACCAAAAGGCTACTGAAATTGTGGTATTTTTTTTACTTAGGATATACAACCTGTTCTTTTTATCAAAGAGTCATATATAGCTTTTGGCAAGATTTTCCTACAAGATACCATGTTTTTTTTACATTGTAAATAAATTCTGTATTTTTCATAGAACCATGGAATGGTTTGGGTTGGAAGGGACCTTAAAGCCCATCCAGTGCCACCCCCTGCCATGGGCAGGGACCCCTCCCACTAGCCCAGGTTGCCCAAAGCCTCATCCAGCCTGGCCTTGAACCCCTCCAGGGATGGGGCATCCACAGCTTCTCTGGGCAACCTGGGTCACTGCCTCACCCCCCGCACAGGAAAACATTTCTTCCTCAGATGTCATCTCAATCTCCCCTCTTTAAGCTTAAACCTGTTACCCCTCGTCCTGTCCCTGCACCCCCTGATCCAGAGCCCCCCCATCTCTCCTGTAGCCCCCTTTCAGCGCTGGAAGGTGCTGGGACGGCTCCCCGGAGCCTCCTCTTCTCCAGGCTGAACAACCCCAACTCTCTCAGCCTGTCCTCGCATGAGAGGTGATTAATTATCACATATATTAACATCATAGCATATTCCCTTAGAGGTATTTTTGGTCTAAAAATAAACTTAAATCGCAAAAATCAACATTTTTATTTAAAAAAGAGAAAGAACAGTGCTTAGAATTAGATAAAGCATCACTTGCTAATAAAGTTACCGTTTCTGAAAGGATCACCGCTTCAGACTGCTGCAGAGAAATATCAGTAGATTTAAATTCTTTATCAAATATCTCTTGATGCTTGCTGTTCCTTTTCTCCTTCTTCTTTTCTTTCTTATCTTTATCTAGGTCATCCTTGTCCAATTTATCTTGAGACCTAGAATGCATCTTTTTGGGCAGGAGGGGCTCCAGCACAAACCTAAAGAAAATTGTTGTTAGATCGATAAAATACTATTTTCAAACCACCTAATTTTCATTTACATATTTCCCAACGTCTCACTTGAGGTAACGATGCCTTGCTAATCCAGGAAAACTCATTAGAGAGAAAAGGATGGGGCAGAAGGCCATAACAACCGTAATGGGCTTACAATAAAACTGACTGCAGGACTGCTCAAGGACCAGCACCACCGATTTCCCTGCTCTGTACTAAACTTACTGCTTTACAGCTACAGGAACTCCTGAGCTTCACCGGATGTGGGTTTACATCAAAATGAGTTTCTCATCCAGCACTCCCATGATATGTGCTGGGCCACCATGGCAGGCGTGCCGCCTGGAAATTCCAGCGGAAATCAGCGCTATACGAGTGCAGGTAATTGTGCAATTGTAAATGTAGACCCCCTGCACCTTGGAGGCATGTCTACAATGGCTTTAAGGATTTCTTTAAAAAATAAGCCAAACTTCCTCCAGGACTTTTTTTTTTTTTTTTTTTTTTTTTTTTGGGGTGGAGAAACAAGATGATTTCTCAAAATTGTTTTGCAGAGGTGTAATGATTTTCTGTTGAACATGCGTAACATAAATCATTTTCTCCTCCATGTAACTCATCAAAATTACAGTTCTGCTTCCCAGAAAAGCAAACGGTATCACCCTTAATGCAAAGGCAACACCCATACATTGCACAAAAGCATGAAGTATAGAGGTTTAACCACAGACACAAGCATCATTCCTGTCCATAGTAACACCCTGTGTGTGTACGTTTGCAATTTTTACAGTCCATGATTTTTTTTTTTTTTTCAGGTTACAAAAGAAAAAATCTTTAGGGGTTCACTAAACTTTTAAAGGAAAACTTGAATTTTTTGAAGAGTTTTTATTTGATAGGGAAAGCACTATCCCAAGTAATATAAGAATGCTTTTTAGTTAATTTTCACTAATTCAAAGGAATCTCTCTTATGGCATATTTTTTTAATGACTACCTTAAGTAAAAGGTAAAGAGATACTTTGCTCTTAGCTAGACAAAGTATTTTATAATTCATCTTTTATTATAAACAAACTACTAAAACACCCTAGTCAAAATTACACTGATGGATATTAAGAGGATGTCTCAAATCATCACATTACAAAACTGAAACCAAACCAAAAATTCCCAAAGAAAGCAACCAGCTTACTTTTCAATATTAGAGAAGTATTTACAATGCCCCGAGGATGCATGCATGGGAAATTCTGGAGGATTCACATTTCGGACAATTCGCAGTGAAGTTATCCTAATTACCTCCATTAGCAGCAATATCCAAAATTGTGATTATTTTTTTTTTGTTGACTGAAAGCACAAAAGGCCCTTCAGTTCTTGCCCTAAGTTAGCTCATTTGATGGAAAGATGCTCAAACCACTTCCCCAAAAATCACATCGGCTGGAAGCCAAAACCTCAAGTTTTTTTCAACCCATTTTACAGACAGGGAAAGTCAGGGCAATAACTTGTCCGGGGCCACAAAGCGTACCAGTGACAAAGCCCGGATCGGTTGACAGCTCTCCCAACACCGTGTTTTAACCACCTGTATTGCCCATTTTAGCCGCTTCTGCCGGGCTCCTCTAGGCTGGAGGGCAGCAACAGCCGCCTCGCGGGCTGATGGCAGGTTGACAAGAGGAATTGCCACTCTTCAGAGAACGATTAATTGCTTTGCTTCCAGGCATTACAATTATTAGTTCTATTAATTATTTGTACGCAACGTATCGGTGATAAAACGGGCTCGCATGCCACACTCCCACTGCAAGTCCATTAGGACTTTCAACAGATGGCAAATCACAGGCACGCTGGGACCTCCACGCTTCCAACCGCTGCTTCTAAGTGCTCAGATTTGTACTTCTAAGTCCCATTTTAAGCAGTGAATAAACCCAAGGTCCTTTTTTTCAAGTCAGGGTTTTATTTATACATAGAGTTGGGAGTTGTAAAACACATACTACATCAACGTCTGCTTGGAGTTTTTACTGTTTAAAAGCTCCAAAGGAGGAGAAGCTGGAGATGGCATAAAATAGAAGCCGGGTGATCTGGGGAAGACAGTCTGTCTGCTCCATTTTTAATTGTTTTTCTAATTTCAGAATTAACATATGAAGAAAGGGGAAATGGAAGGCAGGAGAGGACAAGTGACCATAAACCAAATCAACTACAGGTACTTAAGTGGGTGAACCTCTTCCAAGTTAGTCATGACAAACCACCCACATGATTTTCACAGTCATTAGAATTTTTGAGGTCTTTCATTATGTTATTTACATCTGATGATTTTTCTTCTCCTGCTCCACTGATCAAGCAAATGAGCACCATTTTTTCAGGTTTTCTCAGTGATGACAGTTGTTCATTATATTTTCATCACATGTATTACAGCTGTATTGCCCCAGGCTCAGAGCAGGCTGCACCGTGATCTTTGTCATTTTTTTTTTTTAATATATATACTGAGTGGACACATAAGATATTCCCAAACTGCTAAGTGACACCTACTACAACAAAGCTCATATGGAGAGGTGAAATTTAAGAAAATAGCACCCAATGAAGAAAGAAAAATACATATCATGATTTTGAAGGGAAAAAGAACAAGAGGTAGAGGCAGGTGGGGTAAGAATGAGTATTTTTCTTCCAAGATAAAATAAAGCTGCCCACTAACCTGGGATGGTATTTACCCCCAAGTTCCAGCAAGACAACTTTTATGGATGAATTAGTCAAAACGCATTATTGTCTCTGCTGTCCTACATTTATATGAGCCTGACTCACCACGTATATGTTCTAGGGGGTAACATAATGAGAGCTGAACTGCGCTCTGTTTGCAGTTCTTCCCAGTGGGTATATAACCCGATTGCAATCAAGGTAAGCATTGTCTTGGTCCTTTGGTGCTGGATTTAATTTTACTTGATGCTTTTACTCTCTCCTCAGGTAATAACTCCCTCTGAAGGTGTACAAGGGACACTAAAGTTTCTAGCACATCTTTTGAAGTTAGCAGCCCTTCAGGAGGCTTTAAAAAAACAGCCGCCTTGGTCAAATATTGAATTTTGGGATTATGGGAATGCCTGGGGGGGAGGAAGAGGGAGAAGGGACTTCTGAGGCTGCATGGAAACCTCAGAAAAAAACCAGATTATTTAGCTCCTTTGAGGGATGTGACTGTGAGACAGGGCTTATCAACAGAATTCCCAGTTCTCATGTGAAATATCTTGATAAGTCTTAAAGTACAATCTTGCCTTAAGCAGCTTTTCCTCTGGCAGTGAAAGTGAGAAGAAATGATTGAGCAGTTGGCTAATCCCTTCCTCCTCCCAAACTCCACCTGTTAGCCACGGCAGGGTCGGATGAACACACGTCTCATCACCGGCTTTGCAAAAGATCACTTCTGAACTATTACATTTGCAATACTTTAAAAGGGGATAATTTATCTCCTCTTTGGTTGGGGGTTTTGTTTAACTTTGTTTTAAAGAGCATAAAGAAGAGCATTACATTTATCTTGGTTAAGAAAAAGGACAAGGAATATATCTTGAGATAAATGTCTATATAGGTTGGGGGGTTTTAGCCAATATTTGGCTGCTACTTAAAGCACCATCCCCACTCCACACTAGTTACTCATACCGTTGTGTCAGAGTAATGTTGATGGGGTATTATGATGAACCAAACCTGGAATAAAATACACTGGGAAAAGACCCAACCAAAAAACACCACAGTTCTTATGAGATCAAACAGACACCATGGCAAACACAGGAGACAGAAGGATCGGGAAGGAGTAACACTGAGATCTGGACCAGGTTGGTAACAATCCTAAAAACCTACTGATTTGCATAGCAAATCATGCTTTACAGAGATATTTCTTACGTACCCATCTGAGCCAGGGCGAGAAGGTGTGCTGTCGGAGGAGATGGACGACACCGATGCAACGGAGAGGGGTCTTGAAGACGACGGCATCGTGAAGGATCTCACCATAGACCGTGGCCGACTGCCTCGTCTATCATCCAGACTCGAAAGCTGCAGTAAAGAAATATAAGATCTTACTTCTTAAACCATAATGTAGTTGACATCGGGGTACAAAAAAAAAAAAAAAAAGTGGAAAGGTATGATGGCTTTTCTTCCACGTTAAATTTTATATTATTTAATTATATATCGTGTTTTACAACAAAGGAAACAATTCTAAGGAAAATTCATTTAAAGCACTAAGAGGAAATATGTGTAAGTTTGAACATTTTCCAATAATTCATTTGCTTCAATGGAATTTACATGCTTTGTTTACATCTGGGCTTTAACAAAGAGCTTTTTACCAGTAAAATTTTTTTTTTAAACCTCTCTCTGCAATTGAAGTGACTGCCCTGCCAGCACATTTAAATGAAACAGAGATTTTAAAAAAACAAAATAAAAAGAAAAAGAAAACACTAAGACGAACTTTATGTCAAGAGAGCCAATTTGCAGAGTGACATCTAGGTTAGAAAGAAAATATATGAAAGATTGTTTTTGTTTCAAGAGACTTTCAGAGTTCTGAATATTTATACAAGCTTTGTTAGTCATTAATAACTGATATATGCAGAAAATAATTGAACTCTTTCAGTCAACAAATAAGAATCTCATGCTGTTTAATTACAGGTATATTTTCCACCCTGTCAACTACTGGTAAATTGGCCTTGTACAAAGAAGACAGAAGCGATAAAACTCCATCAACCCTGACAATTCCTACTGGTGGGTAGAGTGAAATTAGAAAGATAACACCACCTGCAGATGACTTCCCAGTCATCTCCCCAATGATGTAAATGTATATTATTGAAGTGACTGACATGCAGCTATCATTAATGTCAATTATTCCTGTTCTCCTTGGGAATAAACTACTATTTGAACTTTTCTCTTCCTAAATCCATTAGCAAGATGGGATTTGAACGACTACAAACGGAACACCGCTTAGAAGGATACCATAAAGGCTGGCACGTTCCACGTAAGATCTCAGGGTTCCCATTAAAAAAAAAAAAAAAAAAAGTAATTTGTAGAGACAGAAGTGGAAATGAATCTCTGAAGGAAGGCCTGTCATAAAATACAACAGGATGCCCCAGTGGCATTACACTGAGATTTTGGGCACTCAGAGAACAATGTCACTCAGCATATTCTGGCTGCCCTGCCTGCTGCAGCATCTTTCTTGCTGCATCATTCGAGCAGGATGCTTTGCATCTCTCTGAGCAGAAAACTGAAGCTCCCTCCCTCACCATATCCTGCATCGTCCACTCTTCAGAACAAATGTCTGGGGGGGTTTTCCAGAGATAATCTGGAACCAAATTCACACCCTGTTTATATGGATGTGATTAGTGCAACACCCATAAACCCAGCAGTATGCACCCATTAGGGACCGTAATCAGAACAGGATGAAGAGGGTGCTGGTTTAAGGCTGTTCAGGTGTATTTCAGTCACTTAATTCTTTTTAGAACCAGTTTAGTGATTGCTGTTCATCTAGAGGCAGAAGTAAAATTGGAGAACTTTTAATGGTTGTAATTTCTTCCTCCTACTTCTCAACCCTTTATTTCTTAATTTATTAAGGACTAGATTGTAGTGGAGCTCCCCTCTGATACTCTTGCCTTGGAAGGATTAAGGATGGGAAGGCAGGGAGGGCACGAAGAGGGTTCACTATTTCCTCTGTGAGCAACTTTAGACACAGAGTTTTCAGGAACGAGGAGAAAACCACAACTGCAGATGTTTTTAAGTTTCTGGCTGCAGAGATAACCTTCAAAATCTGAGCCCATGAGGTAACATCTGCCTCAATGCATGTTCTAATTGATGCAGCACCTCCAGAACCTCTGAAAAAGCCCAACTGGCACAACGTGGCATTTTCGTAAGCCACTCGAGAATTCGGCCTTTTTTCCCATGGAAGCCACCGCTGACTCGCAGGGAAGCACCGGCTGTTGGATACCATGTCCTTCCCCTGCTGGGATCTGCTAATTGGCTTTCTCTTTCAACGGCAGTTAAGGGGATTACAGTGCAAGCTCCTTATCGGCACCCAGGGTGCCAGGGAAAGCCAGGCACGGAGACAAGATGGCACCCAAAGTGCAGGCCGGCGAGCCACGGCCCCGCCATTAACGGCCTACTGGTGATTTCCTCTGTCTTTAGATGGCTTCTGCTGAGGTGGACCTGTGCAATCTTAAAAAACAATTCACTGCTTTTCGAGAAGGTTTAATACCGGTCCTTTCTGTGGGAAATAATTTCTGGTATTTCTGCTGACAGAAGGTGGACCTGTGCAATCTTAAAAACAATTCACTGCTTTTCGAGAAGGTTTAATACCGGTCCTTTCTGTGGGAAATAATTTCTGGTATTTCTTTAATCCAATTTGGAGAAAATGTGTATTGTCCTAAACGATACCACACTGTGCTCTTTGGGAGATAAACTGTCTCGATGATCTTGGTCCCTTCCAACCCAAACCATCCTGTGATTCTATCATATGCAGGCTACCTCTGCCTTTTACCCTGACAACATCTCCCAGGAGCTTGTGCCATCCTCTGAAATGTTCAGTGAAGATGGTCAGAGGCTGGAGCACTTCTCATGCGAGGACAGGCTGAGAGAGTTGGGGGTGTGCAGCCTGGAGAAGAGAAGGCTCCGGGGAGACCTTCCAGCACCTTCCAGTGCTGAAAGGGGGCTACAGGAGAGATGGGGGGGGACTTTTTACAAGGACACATAGCAATAAGATGAGGGGTAATGGATTTAAGCCGAAAGAGGGGAGATTGAGATATTGGGAAGAAATGTTTCCCTGTGCGGGGGGTGAGGCAGTGGCCCAGGTTGCCCAGAGAAGCTGTGGATGCCCCATCCCTGGAGGGGTTCAAGGCCAGGCTGGATGAGGCTTTGGGCAACCTGGGCTAGTGGGAGGTGTCCCTGCCCACGGCAGGGGGGGGGACCGGATGGGCTTTAAGGGCCCCTCCAACCCAAACCATCCCATGATTCTATGATATGCAGGCTACCTCTGCCTCAGAGGATGTATGGGTCTTTCCTGGTAAATAGATGTGCTTTATTTTCTGGAGCAGTGAGAAGATATGTACTGCATACGCAAGTCTGAACTACTACTGTCATTTCACAAATAAACCTAAAAATTCTATTGCCTTTACAACACAGCTGTCAGGATGACCAGTAGACAGAGATAAAATTCACCCTGGCAGCCTTCAATATATTATTATGAGGACTTCAGCTCCACACAGCCAGTCTTAGAGCAACTTTAACCACTTGCACCTCGGGTTTCTAAATAATTTTAAAAACTGATTCATGTAATAGCATCTAATCCGCACGGATTTTGACTGAGTTGTCAATTATATTCTCGAGTACGAGGCTGTATGTTGGCCTTCCTCCCCAATGGGTAATGCTCAAATTAAAAGCAGAACAAAACCCCGCTGGAAACGCCACCAAATTCTTGGCTGTGCCTTAAAGATGAAGCAGCAACTGAAAAGAGCTTGTTGGAATGACAAAAGCATGAACTCCAGCACTAGTAAATCTTATTAAGTAGCAGTAATCTATTTATTGCTGCCTTCATTTAGGGTAGCGCCAAAGTAGGCAAGACGCTATAGCGGCAATTTTTTTTTTTTTTTAACCCCAATTCCTTAAAAATGGAAGACTGAAGAATTATCTTGACTTTCAAGGAACTGATTCAGGCAATTTAGAAATTGTTCCCATGCTAGAAAATAAATGTACCAAGCCTTTCTGAATAACTCTTATAGCATCTGCTCAATATTGAATAATTTGATGACCACTGAGAACAACCAGGCAATGCTGCATCAAACTTAATCAGTGGGAATTACAACAGAGAGACATACAGTTGCCTGTAATTTAAAGAAATTCCACATATTTGTGAAACGTAAAGTCAGGAGGTAACTTACAACAGCTCGGACCCCATATTGTTTTTCCACTTTGTCTTTCAGCTGCCTGAAGCAAGCCTCCATCCGCTCATGGAAGGGCCTCAGCGCCTCCGTCACCTTCTCCCCATGAATCCGGATGCCTTCCGCCAGGAACGGGATCTGGAAAACAGAATTACACTGCTTCAGTCTGCTGGGTCCTTCCGAAGCGAAGGGTTAGGGCAAGACTCCCACATATGCTGCAAGAGGAGTGAAAGATCTCAATTATTGTTATTATTATTATTATTACCACCATCAGCATCATCACTATCATCACCACCCATTGTATAGGAAGCACAACATAGTAAAAAAGGATCTAAAAATCTGTTATACATTATTGCCTTTTTTCTCTGTTACCCAAAGCCCTTTCAAATGAATATACCCATAGTTCTGCCCAGTAATCACATCCTGGAGGCACAGCTGAATTTAATCAAGAAGCACAAACATTCCTGTGATGTTATATTCACAGGCCCTCATACACGCTCTACTTTCAAATGGCAAACTGATGAACGGCGACCCTCACACCGGGTTATTAATATCAGTCCTTTCCCAGTTTCATAAGAATAAAACCTTGAAGAAGAAAATACTTATATGTTTTCTTTAAGAAATGCCATTTCTAGAGCTACATCCTTGGACACGTATATATTGCTGAGCAATATTTATTAATAAAACCTAGTTTTATATACTACACATTTCTCCTTAGAAAAATTACTTTATTTTCTTTGGGAGCAAAACAGAAGAGAAAAAAATCAAATTAATTCTCTTTTGTAACTGAAAATAATCTTTTATCTTCAAGGCTTCTGTCACAAAATATCCATGCCAACACTGGATTATATAATTAGTTCATAGTGTGGAGGTGTAGCTGACCTTTTAAAATGTTTTAAGAGAGACATTTTCATTCCCACAGCTATGCAGACATACCATTAGAGTTTTTTACCTCCAGCTTAGGAAAAATATTTCCTCTTCAAGGTCCGTTTCAGCCCACACAGTGCTGTGATTCTAACTTAGATATTCTCTGCAGCAATCAAGCGAAGAGGCTTCTTCTTAATAATTCATAATTAAATCATAATACTGATTAAAACCAGATTTTTCTAATAAGACTGAGCAGCAATCAGAAGGAGTAGCTTTATTAGTAAGGAGAATAATAAACACACAGATGAATTACAGATGAATAAACTCAAGAAATTTTATCAAGATGATTCTATTTAAATGGACACAGCTTCTTCTCCTAAAAGACTACATAGAGAAATTAAGAATAATGCCAATTTTTTTTTACTGTAGCCGCTTCTGTTCATAGTCATATGGATTTGCACTCTACAAAAATTAAAACATTAAAATCAGAAAATTTCCCTGCTCTCAATAAATAAATATTTCCAAATTTTTCATCATTATCAGGCCACAGTGGTCAAATGGCTCATTTATTTAAAAGAACCTGCTGACTTTTTAAATGGTTTCTTTAAAAAAAATCAAATTACCAAGATGAAGTACATGTGGGGTCTGAAGCTTCAGCTCTGAGATAATTTCTATAAGCAGAAAATGTGCTAATGAGCCTGTCCTAGGGAGCAACAATCTCTAATTTAGAAAATCAAGCAATATGAACCAAATGATATTTTTTGGAGGGAAATACCCAAGCCAGGGGAAAATATATATAAAAAAAAAAGGTCTGTGCTTCCTTCTGTGCCCCAAATTGAAGGAGCTAAGTAGGGTTTCACTGTTGGTATACACCAAGCTTACACAGCCAGTTGCGGAGAGATTCTGACACTTGGAGAAACAAAATAAGAGGAGGGTTGATCACCAAGATCTGCTGGAGTCGGGAGAACGTGAGCACCTAAAGGCTGGTGGCCTCCGAGTGCAGAACTGTTGAGTCAAGAGATGGAGGAACAGGCAAGAGGAGGCACCAGCTTGATGGGAATGAAAGACCAGAAACCACAGACCATGAAGGAAAGGCTTGCTATTCCTTAACAGAAGCTGAATTTAACAAAGTTCCTGTGGCTTTGGTACAGAACTTCTGAGAGATCTCCGAGTCAGGCTATCTGGGCTCCTTGTCCAAGACTGCTTAATCCTTTAAACATTTATCAACTACTGAAAGAAAGTATCTTCAGACAATTTGCTTCACCTTCTTCTACTAACTTCAAAATTCTTCCTACGGATCCCTTCCAGACATTGACTGGGAAATCTGGTGATGAGTGACGCTGAATTTTAAACCTCTATGAACCTTCATTGGATGCGGAGACAGGCAGGATTTTGCCACATCCATGACACATTTGGTTTTGGAGCAATGGTTAGGGTTGCCATTGGCTTGATCTCAAAAGCCCTTGCAGAGCACCCTCACCTTTGGAGGGGTGAATTTCAGAAAAAGGAAAGGTCACGGAAGCAGCTGAGCTAGAAACATAAGAGCTGAACGAGAAGGTAACCAGCTCAAGACAGCATGTATTCCATTCTTCGTTGATTTTAAAGTTCTATAAAGTCCCACCGCAACTTAAAATGATTCCCTGAGGTTTTTTTCTTTCTTTCTTTCTTTCTTTCTTTTTTTTTTTTTTAAAAGATCTTGGCTGAAAAGAATGAAGAATTTACAGACATCTGAATTATTAAAATTAATATAAAATCTTACATCTTAAAGGAAAACATTTCATAATAATGGTATCATAAAATATGATTGCAAAAAGTTTGATATGCTACAATTCTTTCAGCTGTGTAGAACTAGCAGAAGATTTTTATGTGACATACTAGTTTTGCTATGCTGTAAATACATTAGCTGAACGCAGAGTGACTAACATCATCAATCATTCATTTCATTACCATCATTTCAATCAATCATTTCATTATCTTCATGTTAAAATAGAAGATCATCTTGAAATGATGTAGTTGCATGGAAACATTTTTTTTCTAAGCTGGAAAAGATGGACAAAAATGAACATTGCTTCACTAATGATATTTATCTGAAAAAATAATAGAAAAAAACGTAGACGTAAAGTTCACAGAAATTATAAAAAGGATAATAACCCGAAGAGCAGGAATTCCATAGCACAACGGAGAAAAAGGTAAAGTAAGGGGATAGAAAAAAAATTAAATTTAACTAGTCAGCTGATCCTGTGATTGTCAGGCTGCTATTTCATATATCCAGATTGATTTATCCAGCATAAAGAAAATCTCGGTGTGATTACAAAACTCCCAGACCCACATTATTGAAAAATGAAAACTCATTTTTGCTTTCAATCACTGTGAAGCCCGTGATGAATTCAGACCATTGCCTCACTTCCCAAAGTTTCCGTAACAACTCCCCTCCTGCCACCCACCGGTATTTGGCCGTCGGCTCCCCACCCCGCGCCCATCTCTGCGTGCTGCCCGCCTTCTGAAAATGGAAATATTTGACAGGAGGTGTAAGTCTAAGGATATACTAAACATATATGGAATGTCTAAGGTAATTTAAAAGCATCGATTTCCACCATGAAATGGACAGACCTTTTAGTGAAAAGAATTTTCAGCTATAAAAATAAAAATTTTGATCCCTTTTCTCTATTTTTCTGGGTCCTATTGTTCCAGAATGACAATACTGATGGGAAATGATGTATTTAAAACCACTGAATAATTAAAACACAATGTGATTAGCTGCCATACATATTTTCAAATGGCAATATTATTTTAATACACAAATGTCACCAAAGTGAAGCTTTGCTGAGGAAAAATATGTTTGAAATTCATTTGAAGCATTGCTATCAGAGGCAAAGACAGAGAGCTGACATGAAGCTAGTCTTCTGGGATCAAATTATTTTCCTCTATGCAACTTAAAGCCCCTAACATCTAATCTTCTGTAAAAAGCTCACAATAAATACATAACTATAATTTTTTTTTGCAGACCAAAAGTGTTTTTATTCAGTGATAGTTTTATGGTCTTCTCAAGTTTTTATCTTTTTTTTTTTTTTTTTTGAATTCTGTGTCTTTGGTTCTACTACCTCTAAAATTGAAACCTATAGAAATGTAAATTATTCCCTTTTTTTATAGAGACAAAATTGAATATAAAAACACAATGATGCACTTTCTTCTATGGGAAAAAACATTTCCAGTCATATTGGTATTTTTTTTAGTTATCATAAAATTATCTTGAGACCAGTGAAAAATGTCCAGCATATGACTATGGAATAAAATGGAAATTGTTTCTTGTTTGTCCCGCAAAATATTCTTTGGTACGTGTAAATGTAATTCTTCATCCAAGAGGGGGTTCCATTCGCTCTCCATGAAATATTACCTGCGTGATCTTACATTTAAATTATTTTTGCTCTAACATGTCATCATAAAAATAGCAGGTGATTTCACAAGCTTTATGAATCATTGATGGGTTTGGACCATGTTGAGTTATGTAGTAAATGAAGCAAAGGTTTCACAATGATGAATTTATTAAATATTTTGCATGCAAGGTAATTTTTCCAACTCTCCCTTTTAATATTCTGGGCAAGTATACATAGGAAGTTAAATAAATGAAAAATATGTTGTTTGAAGAAAGAAGTGAATATGGGAAGAAATACTGTCCCAGTGTGGGCAAGTCGGAGGAAGGATTCAGGGTTAAGCATTTCATCTTATTGTCCGAGATGAATTTCTGGAATCAGCCTTAGAAAATTAAAATGCAAATCCAAATTGCCAATAATACCAATTAAGATTATTACAAAATATTTTCTCATTTGATACAGATGAGAAATTTCACTGTATTACCGTTACAAAAAAAAAAAGAAAAAAAAAAGAAGAAAAGAAAGAGGTTGACCATGTTTGCTCCTGGCGGGTTTGTCAGATGACAAATTATGTCAGATTTGAAAGGATGAACTTTAGCTCAAGTTCCAAGACAACTTTAAATGGCAAAGAAGTGAACACAGGGTGAATAGTTTAATATCTTGATTTTCTCAAGAATGACACTAAACTGTCTTTGTACAGCAGTTGGCCCTGACCAACCTGACTTAAAATTTTGTACCTGCCAAGCGATCAGATCCTTCAGTTTTTCAATCTTGTCATGATCTTCTGGATGCTCGTGCATATATTTTTCAGTAAAAAAAGCCTAGGCAAGAGAGAAAAGAGCAGTTAGTTCAGAAATGAATCATCTGCTACCACGGAAGAATTACCTACAGCAAAGATAAATGAATCAAACCGAAAGTTCTGCAAAATAGCAGTAATAGCTACAAAGTGAAAATCCAGGAAAGAGATACAGAATTTAACGATGTTTTCAGATGAAGACATTCATCTTTCGTGATCAGCGAAGCAGGCAGATGAGCACATGGTGATCAAGACCAAATCTCATGGGCAACCCAGCAGAGGACTTGGCACATCTCTGAAATGTCTTTCTAGCAGCTCCCAGGGCTTAGGAAATTTTAGTAGATGAAATGAGTGTGAGCTGCAGAAAGCTAAAAACAGATGGATACAGCAACATGTTCATCAGCATGTACCTCCTCCATTTACGATACAAAATATATGTTGTTGGTGTATACTGGCTTTATATGATTAATATTCACAACATAAATAATAGATACAGAGTTCACAGCTTCCCAATGTTCATATCTTATCCCATAGAACTGTAAAAGCTAAAACATGCAGTGAAGATTATAATTTGATTAATCCTTTAAAAAACTCATGCAAAGGAGAGAATTGCAATGGGTTCGTTTAGTCGCTGAAGTTCTTCAGAAGTGCAGGATGGGTAATTTTGACGTTACCTTCTCATAGTTGGTGAACCCTCCCATGACTGCAGGATCCACAATGCCGTTCAGTAGCATGGAGAGAGGGTTAATGGGGAGGTTTGGATCATTTAAATGCTGTTGAACCATATTATTGATCTTATCATTGGTTAGCTGCATGGTTTCTATCGCATTTTCCAGTGGACTGATTTCAACCTAAAAGAAAAACAAAAGGAGGTTTTAATCAAGGAGCAGAGTTTTTAACCAGCCAAAGAAATGGTTATCCACCAAGGCACCACAATTAGGAACATTTCAGGAATTTCAGAACAAAATGAAGCAATCATTAACAGAAAGGGTGGTTTCAGGCATTTAAATATTTGATATCTATATACTGGGATAACTGATATGATAATCAATATAAGTGGAGAAAGTTAAATGAATTTATTTCCCTGCTGTAGGACAGATTGCATCTCAACGCAACCGCACAACATTTAGAAAGGCTCCGACAGGAATCACGTGAGGTTTCTGGAGGATTATGGAGAACATCGGAGATTACGAGGTGGTGAGTTTTAGCAGTACAAAGAAGATCCAGCTTAATGTAACAGTAAGAAAGAAATGATAACTTAATGTGGCTTTTCTGACGGAAAACATAATCCTAAGCAGCTCAAAAATCAAGAAGATATTTTTGCCGTGATTATTTTGGTGTGTTTCCAAGGAAATTGAGTTGAATATGTTGAAGAGATGACTTCTAAGATATCCGCTGTGTTTTTTTCCCACGAGGTCACACTTTCTTCATCTGAACACCGATGACTGAAGGAAGAAATTTTCTTTCTCATTTAGCCCGGACTTCAATGAAGAGAGCTCCTCAGATGTCTTCATGGGGTGAAATAGCTCTTACACTGGGTAAAACTTGCTTTATTTTAATTGACTCATCTCCAGCTATTATTTATGCCCAGATACTGCGTCTTTCAGAATGACAGTTCCTCATGTTGAAAAAACAGTATTAAAATATTTAAAATATAGCTAAAATGTGTACATTTAGTGACTGGGCTAAAAATTACTAACTTGCAGCAACCCAGAGGGTAGAGAGTCCTCGCTGGAAGACTTAGCCTTCTTACATTAAAAAAATGATGCAGTAGGAATGGAAAAGGAAGGTTAATTGAGGCCTGGGAGGAAAATGCAAGTATATATTTGATTACACCCTAATTTACATAAATGCTCCATAAACAAAGCAGCACTTTACCTGGCTATCAGTTGCTTACCATGTTTCTGAGAACCACTTATAATCAAATCTTTTGAGTTGTTACTCTTACACCTGCCATCTGATTACATCAAGGATGTTTTAATTAGCATTTTAAGAAGTCTGCTTGGTGAATTTTTCTGGAAGGCAGGTGCTGAGCCCAAGGGTTCTGCCATGGCCATGGAGCAGAGCAGGTTCCGATGGACAGCCAACGACCACCCATCAGAGCAGAACGTGCTACGAGGGAAATTGGGACTGGGAAAATACGACCACGTTCAACATCTGATTCGGCAAGAACCATTGCGAACATCGTACGCTAAATTTAGGATTCTGTCATTTGTATTAACGGGATGATAACTATGCAGTAATTTGTTGATGAACCATTGCTTTTGAAGCTCTTCAATATCTACAGAAATTAGCGCTCATTGATCTGATAAACATCTTTTTTTGGCTTTTCTGTATCAGCAATCATGGCTTTCTTTCTCATTCTCCTTTCTTTTACTACTCTTATAAACCTCCCTCTAATCTTTTTTTTAAAGCAGATGGAGGACTCCAGTCCCCATCCTACTACTAAAAACTGTGCTTTGGACCTCACTGAAAGCTATTTATTACAAATATTTCCATTTGTAAATGCTGAGCCTTGTTCCAAGTAGCTTGCTAACCCTGGACACGACACAATCTATTCACGACAAACAGAAATTATATACTCCTGATACATCTGCAACACCAAAAAACTAAACATCAAAACAAAATAGAGATTAGTATTTATACTTTTTAAAACCAAGTATAATTCAAAATGTAGTTTCTAATTCACTGGCTGGCCTCAGAAAATTTTTCCCCTGCAACTACTTGTGTCCAGCTAAAGCAAATCAGATCCAGAATAATGAATATGTACAACAAATTCCTTGCAGATACTGAACAGATTGAAAAGGTTTTGGTAAAAGTACTCAGAAGGAATTTAAAAAGCAAACAGATTTAAGGAAATCATGGATGTTCCTCTGGGTTATGTAACATAATAGCCTGCATTTATTAAATTACTCCCTTCTCTCTCAGTACTGAGGTGATATGATCTCACCTCTTCCTTTAAAGATATTCCAGTTCTATCAATAAAATATGAAATGTGCAAAGCTACTTTAATTCATCGCGTTTAGTGAAACATCAATAATATCTGGACCCATAATCAAAATTTAGCATCCCAGGGATGCAAACCTCGTGATCGTACTTCCAGAATTTTAGCTGACAGAAAGCTTGAAGCAAGTCGACACCAATTTCTTAGTAACTACGCCAGAGCTAGGTCAAAAGTTATCCTTTGCCGTTTTCCCACGTATTATTAAGTTACATTTTGGTATCATTTCTCAGCTATGTGACCGATATAATCCTTACTTACAAAAAGCTTACAGAAAGCACTCTCTCAGGATTTATGCATGTTTCCACGACAAGCAGAGCGTTGGAGGTGCGCGTATACAAATTGCCTGCATAAAGCAGCCTGTCAGGCTCTGCTCTTAACTCGTAAGGAAAAGAGACTTTCATCAGATTTGCCAGCCTTTACAAACAACACTTTTTTGCAATCATGAAGATAAATACAATCTTCTCTATCAGGATTATATTGAAAATACAAAAATTCATTAAAAATTCAATGTGTTTTGTTCAGCTGCCAATTACTGTCAAACATCACATTCATATTCTGTTACTATAGATACCATAGTAATTTTCTGCATTACTTCTGTTCGTCTAAATACAACTGGCCAACATAACCTCAACGGAGCAATGAGAAAGGTTTTAATTAATCATACGCAAATTGTTCTTTTCCTTTAAAAATAAGCCTCACAAGAGATTTAAAAACTGCGGTAACAATGTTTTTATCGCTGCTTCAAAATTACAGCTGCGTAAGGATGATTTAATCTCAAATTGATATGTCTTATCTAAACAGTCTAAATGGCAGAACAGAGAGATGTGTAATTTGGAGTTGCTCTGTGAGGTTGCCAGGGTATACATTAGCTAAGTATGGAGAAGAAACCAAAACAACCTTTAATCACAAATGATAGGCAGAGAAAAGAGGCAGCGACAAACGATGCATTCCATTTAGGGTCTATTTGGAATAAATTACAATCATAATACCCAAATCCTCTTTTCCAAACTTCAGCCAAGTTTCATTTTGATGTGGTGGGGTTCCCCTACATCACCCCAGGTCCTTCTTCATTCTAGGCATGTGGCTTACTCCAGAACCTGTTAACGGCTCGCCTGCTGAAAGCCAGAAATACTTTATAACCAGCGCTTGACCAGACCTTGCCCTAAAGGCCTGGAAGACTCAGCCCACATCTGCTCTCAGGATGGAGATGCATTACTTGAGTCACCCTCAGTCAATTACCAGCATCCTCAGCGAGCAAGTTCCCTTGCCTTAAGATGGCAGATACATAGAATCATAGAATCATTAAGGTTGGAAAAGACCTCAAGGATCATGAAATCCAACCGTCAACCCAACACCACCCAACCCACTAAACCATGTCCCCAAGCACCACATCGACACGTTTCTTGAATCCCTCCAGGGATGGTGATGGTGACTCCACCGCTTCCCAGATACAGCCCCACCGATTGCTTGGTCACAGAACAGAAATACAGAAATAAAAATGCTCCCTGGCTGGACGAGAGCCGTATTCTTTCATGGAATCGCAATAAAGCTGAACTGATCTTACCATGAAAACTGATTTGACTTCAAACCACCTCAGAATCCCTGGTAATTTATAGGCTGTCACATAGATGGTTCTCTCGATCCACATATTCTGCAAATTCAACAGAAACATCGCATTTTATCAGACCGATTGCTTTTATCTTTAGCAAGGCTTAAAACATCATCATCAGGAAAAGGAACCAAAGGAGAACACTGGGCAGAAGATCCACCAGTTTCACTGGACTGTCCTTTTTCCCCAGTGATTTCTAGAGCTTTCAAGGACCATGCTCCACAAAAGCACAACATCTTGATACAGGAAAAGCTTCCTCCCCAGGAGGGCAGAGGGACGGAAGGACCGCTCCCTGGGGAGGCTGCAACATCCCCATCCTCCGAGGTTTCAAGACCCCCAAGGTCCCATCCTGACCTGCAGGTCCCGACCTGAATTTGTGATCTCGTAAACTGCAACGGCTTCGATGTAACGTCTCCTCACTGGTTTGAATGTAAGGATACGTAATTTAAAATCTCCTTCACGTGTGTGCATTTGGTTCATGATGTCAAAGACATCTCCTGATCCGATTTTGTTAGAACTGGCATATGTTGGTAGTTCAGCTTATTTATTATGAGGCTTTTTTAACACAGAATTTATTCCATCCTCCACTAGCAGAAGATGAACTTGCAAAGTGATTTTGATACACCTATTTTTTTTTATCTATACCCAAAACATATTTTAAACAGCACCGCTGTCAGCCACTATGGTTTTAGAAAAAGAGAGTTTTCTACCTCCTCAGCTAAACCCATGTAGATCAGCAAATCAGCAATTTTTGATATAACACCCACCACGAGAAGCCAAAGACACTAAAGGAGTGCTGAATGAATACCCAGCCTTAGCTGTAGGAAACCAAACACTCAGCATTTATTGGCACATTGATTAGATCAGAGTCTGCTACTACACAGAAAACCAAGTTCTTTATACAATAAACGATGCATTAATTTATTACTTTAATTACTCGCGCTACTTTACTACTAACTGTGCCCACTACAACCCCGTGAATAAAATGGGTCTCTATAAAAAAAGGCAATCAACTTGATGTAACCTGTTGTAAACGTTTTGATGAATACAAGCTGTGCTCAAAGGGAGTTTTATTGACCATTAGATAAGACATATGGTTTATTAAAAAAAAAGAAAAAAGAAAAAGGTATTACTGCTAAAAGATTTTTAGATGCCTGACTAGAATCATCACGTCAAAAAGTTTTGGCAAGAGACATCTATCTTTTCAGGTAGAGCCCTTTTAAATTTCTTTCTCGAAACAGCTAGTTTTTGACAAAATAAATTCGGTTTTGTCCATGGGTATAAAACAGAACATGATAAATTTATTTAATTGAATTTCTATGAAAAATAATGTTTAAATCTAAAATTTACTTTTCAACAACCAAAACAGAACGAATGGTTCAGATTCTCAAAATGGAGAGGAATAAAAAGCGATCCCCAAAAGTACTCTACTGTCTTTTTCTCGGTTTTTGTCTGGTTGGTTGGTTGGTTTTGTTTGTTTATTTGTTTTTAAAAAAATTTTGGTTTTATTTCCTTACTGCAAATTCATTGTCTGGGTTTTTCTCTCCTTTTCGAACTGGGCGTGAATACTCAAACCGCTGGACTTCATTCACCCTGTAGAAACTGAAAAAAGGGAAAAACACTATCAAAATCAAACACTATCTTTTAGGCATTGCTGGTAAACTCTAGTACTGAAAAAAAAAAAAAAAAGTTTATGCATAAATATAAAATGCTTTTGGGATGACTGTCTTCCAGAAGGCTGGACAGAAGAATACCCAGGAAATGTCCTCATAATTTCTACCCTCCTTGGATTTGTTACACACCAACAGGAACTAGCTGAAGTGTTATAAAGGAGACTGATAAAATTACAAAACCAACTCAAACTCACCTCACAATTTGTTCTGACACTGGCCTGTGAAATTTAGATGGTAAATCCAGTTTGGGCTTTACAGTAAAGCACTGAATATCTGAATTCAGGGGTTAAGAACCGACAAGTGAATTTCAATCACCCAGAACAGGAAGCTCTACGGGAACGCGAAGAAAGGGCAGAACAACAAAATAATGTATTACACCCATAAAGGCAGAAGTGCAGCAGTGTCCTGCTCATGTTGGCCATAAATCCTCCATCTCTACAACCTAAAGGATACACTGGCCGGAGGAGTTTTTAATGTCATCGCCCGGTGGAGACGTCGTTTTCATTTTTTCTGCATTTGGGAACTGAGTCAATAACCTCGCTTCGAAGTCTTCGCGGCGTTCATATTCCTTTCCCCGGTAAATGAAGACTTTGTTCTGGAAACAAATTGAGAGGTGAAATCCTCACACCAGTATCCTCAGCAATGAGCTGGGATCTCAGAAGAATTGACTCCGATGCTGTTAAGTGAGAAATTTTACATTCCTCGCACTATGATATAACCGATAGTTTTGTTACAAATGTTTTATATCAATTTAATAAAACACAAATGGATTTTCTCATCTCCACCTCATTGCTGAGATGACTAAGCACGCGCTTACCCTTACCCATATGTATAAACCACAAGGAATTCAAGGGGATCCAAAGACATGATTTCAAGGATTTATAAAACAGAGAAAGGTCCAAAGATATTGACTCTTTTAGAAAGACTGACAAACCCCAGACTTCATATCAGTCTATTAGATTTTTGCCGTCATACAGTTGTCTGCACACAACACAGCTTTTAAATTATTAAGTATACTTTATTTATAAATATTGCTTTCTTCTTTTAACAATAAAGTGAGATATATTTTATACAGCCCACTTACGTACTGAACAAGCACATTAAATTCGGAAGAAAAATGTAAAAGACAACTTGCATCTTTGTAACCGATCAAATGCATTAAAGTAAGTTTTGATATGAATGTAACACTTGCTTAACCTTATTACTCATCTCAAAACGAACACTTGGTGAAAAAATTTTACAGCACTTATTAGGAAGAGGATGTTATGAGTAGGGGCAGAAAACTGGAGTAGTTTACATTTGCCCAGTTGGGTTTAGTTCTGTAATGGTGCCTTTTGAAATGCACACTGGACGAAACAACACAATCTATTTGGGGGGGAAAAAAAAAAAAAAGGGCAGATGTTTAAGAAGTGTATATATACCTGTAATTCACGTTTATATATCTGTAATTCACAGGAAAATTACAGCAGAAGAAGCAGCTTGTATTGAGGATTTTCTCAATCAGCAAGGCACTTAAGAGCCAAATTTTCAGAGTTTTTATTGCTCATTTTTTACAAGCTGTCCAATCCACAAGGCTTTTCTAAAGCACGCTGTTTTCCTTACAAAGGTCAGGACAGCTCGCCGTGCCCGTTGTGATCCCAGGGCCACCCCACTTTGGTTATCAACTCTGGATCAGCGGGTATTCCCGATGCTCCTAGACGATAACGTGCACGCAGGTGAGAGTGGCTGGATGTGTGACATAATGTCACCGTGACTCAGAGCCACAATCCCCTCTGCAAAGCTGTCAGTGACTTCATTGTACATTCATCATTTTGAAGATTCCTGATAACACAAGTCTTCCCTACAGGAATATCATAAAATATTAATTCAATCATTTTCTAGAGAAATGGGTTGGTCAGTCTTAACAGGGACTTCATCTTACCGGATATTAAATATTTTTTTGCCTGGTAAAACTTAAGAAATAATTTATAAATGATTTATTA